GGTCATAGGAGATGAGAAAACTTTATTCACCTGCCAAAACTCCTCCTTGGCATCTGGCATGAATCCACCTTTGTTCTAACTTCAGGTCCTGTAGCCATCTTAATGGCGCAGTAATTTTTACTATCAGTACTCAGCTATGCTAAGGCAAAAATCTCAGAAATGCAATAGAAATTGTTCACACAATTTCTGCCTTACGACATAGATGTGGGCTTGAAAGCACAGGGGTCAACGCTAACACTGTGAATCATTGTGTGCTGCCAAGCACAGCGGAGTGCCCTCATTTCCCCCCCACCCCCCCCCCCCAAGTGCTGGGAGCACCTTGATTGTGTCACCCACTCCTAAATAATTCTGTCTGCCAGTAAAAGCAGAAATGCTCCAAAAGAGGAAGATTTGGCTGCTCTGACCAAATCACCGCAGCCTTTTAAAAACATCATGTGGAAAAGAGTTGCGGTTCAGCTTCTCTTTACAGGGAAAGTCTGATAAGTGTCACTGGTTGCAGTGGAGTCATTGCCATGGATTCACATCCCAAAAGGCAGGGAAAGGATCCGCATCCTTCCCTCAGCTCTTTGTGTGATCAGTCCTCTCTGATTGCCCACCTGAGCAGGGTCAGACTTGCCTGTGGGTCAGGCTGGACCAGGGTGGTGACTCCCAATGCAGTGACCTCGATGGCAGCTCTGTCACCATTACAGCCCTTAGGCATCTCAGGCTGGAGCCCTGAGATCCCTGATAAGGTTCTGGCTGAAGCTGCTCTGCTTGTCTCAGTGAAAACACTGAGCATTTTCAGCTGCGTGGCCACTGTGCCACTCACCAGGCAGCCAACAGACCCAGCAGGGTCTGGGCCAGTGAGGATTGATAACAAATGTTTTCAGGATTTTCCTTTGCTTGTCCTCTCCTGATTTACCTGCTGCATTTGGGATGTTCTCCATATGTGCTGTATTTGTTTAATTTACGTTTTAATATGATGTATTAAGAAAGCAAGTCCTAAAAGGCCCGGTGTTAGAGGACCCCTATAATGCTGCTGTTTCCTCCCCACTAGTAATGACTTTCCTTTCTTTTTCTTTTTTTTTCCCTTTCCAAGCAACGTTACCAGACTACTCAGCAGCATTCCCAGCCAAGGCACCAGAAAACCTGGTTCTTTGGCCTTGGGGTTGTTGTGCTTGATGTCAGGGAGTCTGTGCTGCATCAAACGACAGTAAATCCCTAACCCCACAGCTGCTGGACTGAGACATTCCACACAGGCCTCCAGGTAGGTTCAGAAAGGAAGGTGGATGAGCTGTGCCAGCCTAGACTGTTGGCATGATATGATCCCTGGATGCAAAGTTTTCTGCAAGCGGTGTGTTTTACCCCCATTTAGGCTGGAAAAGCCATCTAAGACCATCGAGTCCAGCCATGCCCCCAGCACTGCCAAGCCACCACTAACCATGTCCCCAGGTGCCACATCCACACAACTTTTAAACCTTTCCAGGGATGGAGACTCCACCCCTGCCCTGGGCAGCCTCTGCCAGGGCTGGAAAGCCCGTTCAGGGAAGAAGTTTTCGGTCATATTCAACTTAAACCTCCCCTAGTGCAACTGGAGGTCATTTTCTCTTGTCCTGTCCCTTGTTCCCTAGGAGCAGAGCCCGACTCCCTCTGGCTTCACCCTGCTGTCAGAGAGTTGCAGAGAGTGAGAAGGTCCCCTCTGAGCCTCCTTTTCTCCAGGCTGAGCCCCCCCAGTTCCCTCAGCCACTCGTGGTGCTCCAGACCCTTCCGCAGCTCTGTTCTCTCCTCTGGACATGCTCCAGACCCTTCCGCAGCTCTGTTCTCTCCTCTGGACATGCTCCAGCCCCTCAATGTCCTGTTCCTCACGAGGGGCCCAGAACTGACCCCAGGACTCGAGGTGTGACCTCAGCAGTGCCCAGTACAGGGAGGTGATCACTACCCTGGGCCTGTGGCCACACTGTGGCAGGTACAAGTCAGGTGCCAGTGCCCCCCCGGGCCCATGTCCAGCCCCTGGTGACCGGCGCCCCCCGGGCTCCCCGCCCCAAAGCAGAAACGAAAGCGAAAGCGCACAGGTCGCTCTGCCCGCAGTGCGCAGGCGCGCAGATGGCTCGCACAACCTCGGCTCTCCCGCTCTGCCCGGACACTGATGACGTAGCGGGCGCTCCGCGCTTCGATTGGCCGCGGGTTTGCGAGGCTATAAAAGGCGGCGCGCGAGTAGTGCGGGACAGTCGGTGCCGCGGGGAGAGAGTGCGATGGAGCGGAGCGTCCTGGGGTTCGCGGCCCTCGTGCTGCTGGCCCTGCTCGGCCCGGGGGACGCTGCCGATCGTGAGTGCCGGGGACGGCGTGAAGGGTCCTGCGAGGGGCAGGGAGGGCGAGGGGCTGGGGGGCCCAGATCTCGGGGAGTCCGGTCACCGTGTCGGGGTGGGTGGGTGCACCGACGCGATGCCCAGCCGTAGCCCCGCTTCTCACACCGCCCTCGCCCCCCTCTCCAGAGGCGCCGAAGGTCGAAGTCTACGCCCGCGCACGCGCCAAGGAGGGAGAGGCGAACACCCTCCACTGCTTTATCACTGGATTTCACCCACCCAAGATCGAGGTGGAACTCCTGAAGAACGGAGAGCCCATGACCGGCGTCCAGTATGGGGACTTGTCCTTCAACGAGAAGTGGCAGTTCCAGCGCCTGGTCTACGTGCCCTTCACCCCTACGAGGGGTGACACCTTTGCTTGCAGGGTGGAGCATTCCACCATGTCGGAGCCAAGGATCTACCGATGGGGTATGCTCTGCCCTGCCTTCTTCCTGCAGCTTCTGTTTGTGTGCCAGAGCTTGTTAGTTTATATCCATGGTGTCTCTCTTCTTCTTTCTGGAAAGCAGGGTCTTATAGCAGGGTGGGTTTTGAGGGTCATGTTAGAGATGGAGAGTTAACTCGCTTTCAGCTGTAAAGGCTGTTATACATATCCATGAAGGATTCAGGGTGGGAGTGCCTTGGTGTTGTCTGTAGGGATTTGGTGGTGCTGTGTTGTCCAGTATCAGTGAACTCACCTAGAAGATGAGTCACACAGTGATTTGGGCTTTACCTTCAGAATATAAAGGACACAGCGGTGGGAACTGTGGTGGTGACCCATCCGAGGGCAGATCTCTGGTTACAGCCAGTAGGGGTGGGCTCGTGGGTACTCGGGAGGGGTTGCCATTTGCCCCAAAGCCTAACGCTCCACCCTTCTTCCCTGCAGAACCAGACTTCTGAGCTGTGTCTGGGGTAATCCATGGTGAGTTATGCTGATGCTGCTTTCTGTGCTGGTAAGGGGAATGTGGACCCATTTCCGTACGGGAGAGAGTGTATAACTTGCAGAGTTGAGGAACAGAAGCAACCATCCCCAAAAAGCAGATGATACTGCTGATTTGGGGCACGGGACTCTCCCCACACTCCTTCTACCCACTATTTTGGCCTGTTCTCGGCCATCCCTTGCCTACAGGAGTCTAAAGAAAGGGGACCCTTGGAGAAAACCTTCCATGTCTTTGCTGTGTCTGCCAAGTACCATTGAGAGTTGTCACACGTCCTCTAATAATTCTTCAGGCCCCACAGTGCCATTTCCTCTCTGGGGAGGAGGCAGTTGCTGTGCCTGGAGATCTGTGCCTTGGGGGAGGCAGGCTGGTTAACTCTGTGGCAGACAGGCAGCACAATGTGGGATTTGTGAAGCACAAACTGGAAGCAGTTTGGGTTTATTACCAGTGTCTCAGAGTTCGAGGGTTCCATGTTCTTCAGACTATACTCTTGTAACTGATGTGGATTTAGCAACAGGGAAATTCCAATTTAACCCTTGATCAGAAGAAAACTGAAGATATGTGTCCCAGCTGACATAACACGCTGGCTGAAACGACTTAGATAAGTGCCCTGGTAGAGGCTGGATAATGATTAACTGTGCCCAGGACAAGCCTTGGCAGGACCTCACTTGAAATGCCCCTACTCTTGTAGAGCTCTACAAAGTTGTATATGGCCACTCATCTGGTTTGCTGCTTGCTTTTGGGCATCCCCCAGGGCAGGGTCTGAGATGTGCTGTGCCCAAGTGGCGCCGTGGCTTAGGTTGGTGGGACATCAGCCTGGAGGTCACCGATGGTGACGGATGCCAACCTTGGCTGGAGGTGGGACATGGGCAACTTCACTGGAGTCCGGTGACAAGGATTTACTGAGCTGGGGTGGAGGAGCCGAGAGCAGGATAAGCTGCCTGGGGTGGAGAACAAGGATCCTCTTGACTTGTTGAACTCTGAACCCCACCAAGGAAGGGACAGAAAAGTAGTTTCTGCAGGAGTTTTATCTCACTGGAAGGTGGGTCTGTGCCTGCAGCTGAGATGCTGCAGTCAGAGTGCTGCTGAGGAAACCATTTTTGACTCCTAAAATAATTATAGTTGAAGCTGTGACCAGAGTGATCCATCTTCTCTCTGTATGCAGGTCTGAAAAATTCTTCTTGCAAATCAAAGTCTTCTCACGCTCGTTTCCAGTCTTCATCATAACCACAAGAGTGATTATCTTGCTTCAAGGAATTCTTTAATAATGCTTGTCAAGATATCTTTTGCATGAAGCAGAAAGGGAGCTCTGGAGGCTTTTTGAGCACGTAGCTATAAATGCCTACATTGCTGCTTAAAAACAATTTTAGCTCTAAAGTGCTCAAAATTGTACAGGATTTTTATCTTAATAAAATTGTAGCCATTTAAATGTTTTTCAGAATCATTGGACAACCTGAGCTGATTTCAAGGGCTCCAGCAGCCGCTGGGTTGTGAGTGAATCTGGAGCCTGGTGGCATTGATGCTCAGTTGTGCTTTTTTATCCTACTGAGAAGATGTAAAAACACTTTTCCATCAATAGAAAAAAAGAATTAAAGACTTTTCTGGTTAATGTGGCATCTGCCTGGTTAGAAGCTCCTGCGTGGCTCCGAAGGGAAGGAATAAGGTTTAAAAAAAGGGGTAAAGAAACCTTGGGGATGTGGGGTGGGACACAGAGTGAGGGGCAGGGAATGGTGCCCACTCCGAGGGGGAGAACTCCAGATTGTGCATCTTGGGGTGTGGAGTGTAAAGCTGAGCCTGGGAAAAGTGTGTGTCAGCAAACTTCAGTTCTGTTTTTCTGTTCCCTGTGGCTGACCCTGTGGAGAAGAGCAATTAGGGGGAAGTCATCTGTCATACCATGGGGGGTTGATGCCAGTACCCAAAACTGGTGCTATTCCCATCACCCTGCTTTTATTTTATGAAGAAATCAGTGTGATTGCTTGAGTGTTAGAGTGAGGTGAATCTGACCAGTGTGGATCTTGAGTATGTGAACAAGGGTCCTTGGAGACCGGGGGTTGCACGTCTCATCTTGGTATAGTAAGATTTGCTGTGATGCAGAACACCCACTTGAGATTTTTGAGGGATCTTGGCTTGTTCTGTACCTTTTTGCATTATAACTGCATTCCAGCATCTGGGTGGGAGGTTGCTGGGGTGCAGGGCCTGGTTATGGGTGATCCATTTGGGCTCATCAGAGTGTTCAAAACAAAACCAAGAGAGGTGAGGTCGTCACAACTGAGTGGTCATGTACAGGGCTTGTCACCCAGCATGGCACAGCAGGACCTACCAGAGCCACCACACAGGAGACTGGCTAGGGACTGTGCCAGCCCCAGCAGTGGTCCTTGTGTGGGAGAAGATGGTCTAGGAAGGAGGAAAAGCTTTGGACTTCTCCCCCAGAGACCCCTGCAGAGCAGCTCAATCTGCTGCATGAGCCCAAGGAGTTCTGGAGCACGTTCTGGGCTCCTGTGGATCACAAAGGGCCGCCAATGTGCTTTCCACCATCTTGGCTCCACCTTTACTATCCTCAAGAGCATTAGAGAGTAATGGCTGGGTAGCCCCTCCACCAGGAAATCTTCATCCTAATTAGAACACAAGTGGAATCTACTGCAGAAGCTGAAGACACTGTGGAGGCAATGCAGGACAACCCATCTCCAAAGGATGTGTCAGCATCTTCCCACATGGGGGAAGTCTTTGCCCTCATTGCACGTCTGGCATTTTTCTGGTCTTACTTAGGAAATATTTTGATGGTTTACTGAAAAATCTCCTGTCTGTGGGAGAACAACGCATGCGCATCCTAGAGGCTGATCTGGATTTCAGTATCTGGAAACACCTTCTCTGTTTTATCCGGCATCCTTGGGGTTCCAAGATACCCAAGATGTCACTGCTGCTGGCTCTTCAGCGGCAGTTCCCAGCAGATGGGATATCCTGAGAGATATCTTGGGAAGTTTGAAGTACGAAACAAGCCTCATTTTTGCCTTATAAAATGCAAGCAAATCTGCTGCAAGCCAGCTGTTTCCTGAGTCAATGAAATATGTGTGGTTTGGGGAGAAAAACTTCTAGAACAACTTAGGATCCACAGGGCTCGAGTCCAGCTCCTGGCCCTGCACAGGACACCCCAACAATCCCACCCTGTGCCCGAGGGCGTTGTCCAAACACTCCTTGAGATCTGATAGGTTTGGGGCCGTGACCGCTGCCCTGGAGACCCTGTTCAGTGCCCGACCACCCTCTGGGGGAAGAATTTTTCCCTGATATCCAGCCTAAACTTCCCCTGGCACAGCTCCACGACGTTTCCTCCCCCCCTCCCGTCCCCCCGCCGGGGTTTCCCGCCCCTGTCGCCTCTCAGGCTCCTCCCGCCTCGCCTCAGGGCTGTTCCACTTCCCCTCAGGGCTGTTCCGCCTCCCCTCAGGGCTGTCCCGCCGCGATGTTCCGAGGCCGCCGCGCCTGGTTCTCGCAGAGCGTCAGCCCCGGCCCGCGGGGGCTCTGGGGTGAGGGGAACCGGCGGCGGCAGAGCCCGGGGGGAGTCCCGGCGGCATCGAGCCGGCAGGAGCCCGCGGGGGGATGGAGAGGGGAACACAGCCCTGTCACCCCTCGCTGGGGCGGAACAGCGTGGGGAGACACAGCCCCGTCACCCCTCAGTAGGGATTGAGGAGGGGGGGCACAGCCCGGTCACTCCTTGATGGGGGCACAGCCCCATCTTCCCTCGGCAGGGCAGAGCAGGAGGGGTACAGTCTTGTTACCTCTCAATGGGGATGAGGAGGGGGGCACAGCTTCATCACCCCTCAGTGGGGCAGAGCGGTAGGCACACAACTCTGCCACCCATCAGTGGGGATGGGGGTGGGGAGGGGGCATGACCCCATCACCCCTTGGTGGGGGTACAGCCTCAGCACCCTGAGTGGGGATGAGAGGGGAACACAGCCCCACCACCCCTCATTAATGGCACAGCAGTGGGGACACAGCCCCACCACCCTTCGGTGGGTCTGAGCCCCCCACAGCAGGCAGAGCATGGGTTTGGCCAGCTCCACATGTACCAGTGCAGCCCATGGTGCTCCCACACTGAGGAAAAGCTCTGAACCCTCAACGGGGCAGTGGGAGTCCCACAGCCATGGCAGGGCCACCACAGCTCCCATTACAGGCCCCACCCCTGGGGCCCCACAACCAGACATCCCCGTTACAGGTCACCCTGAAGTGGGAACCCTCTGGGATGCCCACCCTCCCCTCACCCCCTGTCCCCCCACAGTGGCCGGCGGAGGGGCACTGACCGACTGGCTGGATGCCGAGTACCTCTTCAGCAGCGATGCCACCCACCCCGACACCCGCAGGTGGGTGATGGAAGCATTTGTCTATGGCTTTAATGTATTTAGTGGGAACTATTTCCTGGATATATCCTATAAAAGTCAGTGGGGTGTTTTTAAAATCTTGGTATGGATGTGCTAGGGTTTTACTGCCTGGTGGAGTCGGGAAACTCACACCCATGCTACACTGCAAGCAGACAGAACAGAAAAAAAAATCCATGTGTTGAGCTGGGCTTAACTCTGATATAAATGACACTAATTGTACGGGTTTCTCACTGCCTGTGAATTATCTGCTGGAAAAACAGGGTCTAAAACAGAAGTGACACCATCCCCAAGGAAGGAACCCAGAGGTAAAAAGCTGGTGTGAGTTAACTCTGAAAGGAACCATGGGGTAAAAATGGCTGGGAAAGGACAGAAATCCTTAATATAAAAGATTAGAGAGTTCCAGAACATTCGTACAAATGTAGGGAAAGACTTCTCACTTCCTCAATATCAGTGAATATTACTTACTGTCATGTAAATATATTTATGGTAAAGGGTGCTGCGATGCTTCCAGCAGGCTTTGCTAGGCTGGATTAAGCAGCTTCTTTTTAACACACCAATGCTTAGAACTGGCTTAGATTTTTGGAATCCTTCAGCCACCCGCTCAGCTGCGCAAGAGGGGAATCCCGAGAAACCCGGAATAACGACATTCCTTCTGCCACACTTCCTGCCTGACTGCACTGTTCCCCCAGGGGAATTATATATAACTATATATTGTGTAAATATGTATAAAATACATATTCAGTCTATGTACTTAGATAATTTCTTGGGGAAAATGTAATCGTTATTGTAGTGGTTTGAACCTTGTTTTCCCCCAGAGGCTAGGAAAAGTGGTAACCCCCAGGGGTGGAAACCCCTAGAAGTTTTGAAGTTCTGTCCAATGAGCGCTCCTGCAGAAATGTAAACATATCACAAGCACTGGAAGAGAAGAGTTGTAGTTTGGTGGTAGAAGAAGTAGCCATGTTGTAGAGCCACGAGGAAAGGGGCCCGGAGCCCCTCGGGGCCTCTGGGGCCCCCCAGCCCCAGCTGGGGGCTACAGAGACTTGGAACAGTGTTAAACTGGACTATGTGTCTGTAGCTGTGAGCTGGGAGATGTTTTTCATTGTGAGTGAGCAGAGACAGAGCAGAAGCAGCGGCAGCGTCCAGAAGTTATGGCTAAAAGCCAACTGATAAGACCTGAACTGAAAGAGCAGCAGGAACAACATGCAGCACCGCAGAGAAGACTCCTGGAAGGAGAGCCGAGGAAAAGAGAGCCCGCAGCAGAGTCACAGAGTTCTGGGGGTAAGAACTAATACCAGACCCCCCAAACTCCTTTGAGACCTCCTGGAGAGGAGGAAGATGATGGACTCTTACTTGGAAGAGCCTTGAAGTGCAACATGCACTGCAGAGAGGAGCTGAGAAGCGAAGCTCAGTCATCCAGAGAGCTGAGCCAGGACGGTGTGGGAGGTTGGCCTTGGGGGCCCTCCCTTGCTGCAAGCTACAAAGAAGCTCGCAGCCTGAGGCAGGGCACAGAGGCCCTGCAAGGAGCTTCAATCTCCTGGAGATACCAGACCATCACGAAGACCCCCTGCGTCTCGTGATATGATGTGGTGAAACAGCCTTTGTCTGGGGTTACGAAGCCCACGGAAGAGAAGACCCCTCACTTGAAAGATGACGGGGCCGAGGGGCTTGGATATCCCCTCGTGAGTGCTGGCAGAGATCTAGCAACAGCTGCATGCATGAGAGAGAGAGATAGACTGCTTCTGCTACTCTGAAGAAGCTGCTGCCCTGAGAGACTGGAAGGGATCTGTCCTTCCTTCCCTCCTGGACTTTTATTTGGAGGGGAGAAGAGATCTGATCCATTGTAAATACTATATGTCATGGTAGAGATAGTTGTGATCATGTGTATAATGTGTTATAGTATTTATTTGTACAGTCATTGTAATATATTCCCTTTCCCCCACTTTGAGTCTGGTTGTGTTTTGTCTGGAAAAACCCATCTCACATTAGGTTGAGATGTGGGAGGGGGAATGGAGCTAGGGAATTGGATTTTGGGGCTATCTCAAACCATGACAAATGCTTAATATAAAAGATTAGAGAGTTCCAGAACATTCGTACAAATGTAGGGAAAGACTTCTCACTTCCTCAGTATCAGTGAATATTACTTACTGTCATGTAAATATATTTATGGTAAAGGGTGCTGCGATGCTTCCAGCAGGCTTTGCTAGGCTGGATTAAGCAGCTTCTTTTTAACACACCAATGCTTAGAACTGGCTTAGATTTTTGGAATCCTTCAGCCACCCGCTCAGCTGCGCAAGAGGGGAATCCCGAGAAACCCGGAATAACGACATTCCTTCTGCCACACTTCCTGCCTGACTGCACTGTTCCCCCAGGGGAATTATATATAACTATATATTGTGTAAATATGTATAAAATACATATTCAATCTATGTACTTAGATAATTTCTTGGGGAAAATGTAATCATTATCCATACCGTTAAACCCAGCAAACAAGATTTAGTTCCCCTCTAAGGAGGACGGTGAGGGCTTGAGCACGCTCCACCCACCATTCTTTGCTCAGCTGTGTGAAGGGACCAGTGTGAACAGGGATCAGTGAGAGCAGGGACCAGCAGGGAGAAGAATAAATAAAGGAAAGTCAGGTTTTTGCCCTCCCTAAAGGACTAGTTGCACCTCAAGAGCAGAGTGGGGCCACTTAATCCCTACAAATATGCTTACCCAGTCCATGGTCTCCTTCCTTCAGGCTGCTGTCAGTTGGAATCCCATAGACAGAAAATCACAGAAAATTAAGTGCTTTTGGCAAAAATATCAGAGCAGGCTGGTTTTAATGACAGCATCCCTCTAAACTTTCTGGTTTTGGTTTGTTTCCAGGTTCACCTTTGGAAACCAGCTCTCTTTTTCTCTTCCAGCATACACGAGAGCCTCAGATACTTGGAGGGCAGAGCCACAGTCTTTCACTCCCGTTACCTCTCGGCATGTGAGCGCGCTGGTGCCACGGAGAAGCCTTCAGTGGTTCTGGGCCACTTCGTCCTGCCCCCTGCCTGCCTGCAAGAAGGTCAGGGAAAAAAAAAAATCCATCTGGGTTTTCCCACCAGGGGGTTCCCCCATGAGCTCAGCCTTCTTGCAAACCAGGACCATCAGTTACTTCTTTGCAGGGAGGGAATTTACTTCTGCTCTAGTGGCTCTTCCTCCCCAGAGGCAGCTTATGCTCCATCTGTTATCATAGAATCACAGAATGGTTTGGGGTTGGAAGGGACCTTAAAGCTCATCTCATTCCACCCTCTGCCACTGGCAGGGACACCTTCCACTAGACCAGGTTGCTCCAAGCCCTGTCCAACATGGCCTTGGGCACTTCCAGGGTTGGGACAGCCATAGCTTCTCTGGGCAACCTGGGCCAGGGCTTCACCACTCTCACAGTGAAAAATTTCTGCTGAATATCTAATCTAAGACTACCCTTTAGCAGCTTAAGGCCATTTCCCTGTCCCTCCAGGCGCTTGTTCCAAGTCCCTGTCCAGCTCTCTTGCAGCCCCTTTAGGCTCTGGAAGGGGCTCTTAGGTCTCCCCGGAGCCTTCTCTTCTCCAGGTGAACAACCCCAGCTCTCCCAGCCTGGCTCCAGAGCAGGGGGGCTCCACCCCTCGGAGCATCTCTGTGGCCCCATCTGGACTCGCTCCAGCAGCTCCGTGTCCTTCTGATGTTGGACCCCAGAGCTGGAAGCAGTACTGCAGGTGGGGTCTCACCTGAGGGGGCAGAATAACCCCCTCCTCTGTTTCCCACACTGTGGGATCAGCCCAGGGCACAGGGGGTTTCTCAGTGCCAGCTCACACAGCCGGGGCATAGCCAGCTCCTCCTCACCAACATCCCCAAGTCCTTCTCCTCAGGGCTGTGCTCAATCCATTCCCCCAGGCTGGATTTGTGATAGGAATTGCCCTTGCCCAGAGGCAGGACCTTGCACTTTGGCCTTGTTGTCCTCGGAGGCACCTGCAGGGCCTCGCTCAGGCAGCAAGGCCACAGTCCTGTTATTTGATGCTCTCAGTCATTTGTTTTGTTGTTCTTGGCAGAAATCAGAAGGAAAATCGGCTGTTTTATTTGGGAGCAGGTGGATGTCCTTGAAGAAAAGGTAAGATGAGAAATTCATTACAGGTGTGGCTTAAAAAAAATAAGGGTTGTATCAACTCCAGGGAACCTGGTTTTCATCCCAGACCCTCAGCCCACATACAGGATCAAGTCTTGTATAAACAGCTGGAGGCACAGCGACCACAAAATGGAGTTTTTAATACTCCGTAAAGTCAACAACAAAACCTCTACCCTGGATTTCCAGAGGGTTGACTTTTGTCTATTCAGGACACCAGTTTGGAAAGTCCCTTGGAAAGCTGACCTTAAAAACAAAGGGACCGATGAAAGCTGGACATTCTTTAAGATGGGCCTGGCTGAGCAGGGAGCTTTCACAGGAACTTAGGGGAAAAAAAGGAGGGTGTGTCATCCTGGGAAAAAGGAACACTCAGGAAGTGTTTAAGGAAGTAGTTAGATCAGGCAGAAAACTCAGTTATAACTTAGTCTGGCCATGTCTGTAAAGGATAATAAGTGTTTTGATAAATACATTAATAACAAAAGGAGGCCCAAGGAAAACCATGCTCAGACAGATGCCCAACTCCCACAGGCAGAGCTCAACCCTTTGGTGCAGCATTTTCCCTCTCATTTGTGCCCCCTCTCCTTTCAAAGCAACTTCCAAGCACTTTTGAAGGGAAAATGTGCTTAGACCTAAAATTAAACTCTAAATTACACCTGAAATCAGAAGCCCTAACAATTCCATTCCTGGAGTGTGTCCCAGGTGCTCTGGGGGGGGACCAAGGGCACCATTTTAACTCAACCCTGTGCTGATTTTCACAGCCCAATGGAAATCCAGCAGAGGAAGCTGAGGCAGTAAGAAATGACTGTGAGGAAGAATCTGAGGGGGGAGCGCTAGACCTGGACAAGAGGTATTTTCCCACCCTGGATGGTGGATTTTGGGACCCCCCCCCCCAAATTCCAAGCGATCCCAGTGCACAGGAACTAACACACAGAATGTTTTTTGCCCCCACCCTGATACAGCAGCGAAGAAACAAGCTCTGAGGCACCTTCCCAGGGGGAATTTCCATACCGTGCCCTCCAGAAATACCCAATGAATAACATGGTGACAGGTAAATACACCTGGAAAGGCCTGTGGATGGAGGGGGGGAGCAGGGACCCCAGTGAGCCTGTTTTCCCTGCACAGGCTACACCTCCTCCCGGGACATGAAGAAATATGAAGGGGAGCTCCATGACTTCATCCCCGGCACGTCAGGCTACACGGCCTACTGGGTTCAAACCAAAATTAGCATCTACTGTGAGAGGAAGACCAAAATGAAGAGGAAATTGTAATGCATAGGTGGCTGGAGCAGCAAAACCTTCCCAATTTAAGAGCTGCCAGAGAGGATTTACAAATTATTCGACTGCAGCTCAACATGTTCAATGTGTATTTAAACACTTGCTAAATTTACTGCAAATATTTTAAGTAACTACCTAAATTTCACAACAAACACAAATACAGACATTTCTCTCCAGAATACAAATCTTTTGTCATTTTATTCCTACCAGGAGGGGGGTTTAAGCTATGGCTGTGAACAGTTTTCCTTGGAGGGACACATCGAAGTCTCCTTGCTTTTATTTTATCAAGTAACTGTAAGACTTTTCCCTTTCATTTAAGCACTTAAAAGTGACCAGTGGGGTTATAAAAAGCAGCTTTAATTCTGGCACAGACTGACCCTGGGCTGCCTGCTCAGGGAAGCACATGTTCCCACAAGCTCCAAGGAGCCACCACGGTCATTCTCTCCCATGGCCCCCTAAAGCAGGAGAGCCTCTAAAATACCACTTTGATCCTCACACCCCAAGCAGCCAGAAAAGAATTCAAGAAGATGCCGCAAACAGGAAGGTGCTGAGTCCTCTGCACCTGAGAACCTGCCCTCCCTCATCCCCAGGGACACAGGTGTCCAAAGACCAGGCAGGCTGAGGTGGATTCCTCACGTTTATTGGAAAAGCGACACACAGGGACGGACTCAGAGCGCTCCTCGGGGCGTCTTGAAGTTCATCCCCACTGTGGGCTGTGTCACCTGCAGGTTGGACAGGCTGCCAAAGTCCTGGAAAACGACACGGGAACAACAGGATCAGTAACAGGACCCTGCCCAGTAACCACTGAGGGTGGGGAGCGAGAAGGTGCTGTGGCAGCACCATGGGGGAATTGAAGTCTCCTGAAGAGACTAAAGAGGAGTAGATCACCCCACTCCGGAGATCAGTACAGTGGTGAGGGAATCCTTGGAGAGGAGGGCAAGGAGCACACCCAACCTGCCCATGGCAAAGCCACCATGTTTCTCCCTCCCCTCCCAAAAGCCATATAGGAATTAATCTGCCCACAGGACCCAGGGTAGAGGGACCCCCACCATGTCCCCAGTGAGAGAGCCTTTAGCCAACAGGAGTGGGAGCAGTGCCAAGGACATGCCACCGACCATGCAGGGGATAACTGAGGCCACTCACCAGGAGCTTCAGCATTTCCTTGGTGTCTGGGTCCACTTCAATGATCTCCTGGTCAAGGGCAGAGACCTGGGGACGGAGGGGAGACAGAGATGTGGTTTGATAAAGCCCCACTACCCCCCAGGTGTCCCCACAGCCACTCCGGTCCCGTCCCACTGCAGATAGGATCTCTCTGCCCACTCTGGGGAAGGGCTCAAGCAGCAGAGCTAAGAGGACCCCAATGGAGCCCAGCTCTCTTGACAGAATATGGTGAGAGGCTACAGTATGAGAGAAGAGCCTGTTTTATGGCAAATCCTTGGAAAACCAAGGCCCAGTATGCTCCAGACCAAGGCTGCTGAGGAGCTGGGGTTGGGCCTGCAACTGCACCGGTTCTGGCTGTGACCAGCAGTAGCCCACAGTGTGTCCCACTCTCCTGCTCTTTAATCCCAGAGAAACTTCCTCCAGCCCTCTCTGGACCCCAAAACTCCATTGCCATGGGTTTCCTTCCCCAAGAGCTACATCCCACCGGGATTCTTCTAAGAAACAGTGCAAGTTCAGCTGATACTGCGCCAACAGCTGCAGCAGGGATGCTCCTTCCCTGCTTGGAGTCCCTTCCCTACAACCTTTGGATACAAAGGTAACCACACCCTGGCACCACCGAGGTTTGTGCAGCACAGAAACCAGCAGCTCTGCCAGGAGCCCACCAGGGAAATCTGGGAGAGGGGTAAAATGCACTGTGCCTGAAGGCCACCGGATTTGGGAGCAATGGGATCAAGCCCCTAGAACATAGGAAATGCTCTTGGAGCGCCTCGCCCAGCTGATGGTTGGGATCTTTGGAGCACAGGGCTAAGGGGAAGGGGTGCCACCAATTCCTCCTCTCCAGCAACACTGGCTGCAGGGCAGGTTTCCAGCCGCTCTGAAATACCCTCCTGCCTCCCAACAAGATGTTTTTTTCCCCCTTTTTTAAAGTTAGGAAAACCAAAATGTAAGAAACCAGCTGCCCTTCCCACCCCAATCAGTAGGTCTGGAGGGCTCCACCTCAGCCCCCTTGATCCAAACCCTCCCTGAGCTGAGGGTTTTTTTAAAGGAATCTGGACCTATTGATGGAGATGTGCTGAGGCAGGAGGGAGCAACGGCAGAGCCTCACCTCGGGGACGTAGTTGTCCCTTCTCTCCCTCTCCTCCTCCTGCAGTTTGATGGAGATGCCACGGACGGGTCCCCTCTGGATTCGCTTCATCAGGTGGGTGACATACCTGCGGGGACACGGGGGTGTCCAGGGCTTCCCCGGGGCTCCCCCCACCCTTCTTCACACCCCCAACCGGGGGGGATGAGGAGATGGAGCTGTCACCACCCACCCCGGCGATGTACCGCCACCTCCGGGGGACATCAGAGACGAAGTGTCCGACAGCAACAGGGTTTGGGGGGGACAGGGACCCCCCCAAACACGGGAAAGCTCTCGCGCTTCTCTCCCTGCACTATCGATGACCCGGCCACGGGCGGGACCGTGATCACTTTCGAATGCAGGGCCTGGCTCTGACCTCCCCCCGAGACACCCTCAGTGCCCAAACCCCACCCGGAACGCCCCCGTTCCTCACCCTGCGATCTTGTTGCGCAGCTTCTTGCTGGGGATGATGGCGATCTCCTCGCACACGCGCTTGTTGGTGTGGAAGTCGTTCCCCAGGCGCGTGTAGTACTTCTCGATGATTACCCGCGCCGCCTTCTTCACCGTCTTCGTCCGGACGCGTCCCTGCGCGGGGCCAGCGCCGGTCAGGCCCCGCCGGGCCCGGGCCCAGCGCCTCCCCACCCAGCGCCCCCTCCCCCGGCCATCCCGGCGCCCGCAGCCCCCCGCAGCCCCCTGCCCCGCTCCCTCTGGTCCCCGCGCGGTCCCCGCCGCCGCTCCCGCCGCAGCCCGGCGGGCGGATGGCGACGGATGGCGGGGGCCGCACTCACCATGTCGGCGGCGGCCGCGCAAAGAGAGCTGGCGGCGACAGGAAGCGCCGGAAGCGCACAGCACGCACAGCGCCCCCTGGCGGCTCGGAGGGTGTCCCCAGGGGCGCCGTGGGCGTGGTCACGGGGCGTGGCTATGGCTGGATGGGCTCAGGCCTGGGGGCTCCGCAGGGTCCCAGCGCCGCCCGCCCCGGGGCCGCACCCGGACTGCCCAGCACCGCTCCGTGTCCCCAGGGCGGGATGGAGCCGCCCAGGAGGCCGTTCTGAGGCACCAAAACATCCCAGGATAGGCTGTGATGAAAGACATAGAGCACCCACAAACTCGCATCATACAGCCCCAAAGGAGGCATGACCACACCCAGGTGGCTGCAGAGTTGGAAGAGGGCACAAGGAAGGAGCCCAATACCTTACCCCCCCAAACCCTCCAGGGACATGGGGCACCCGAGGGTGCCCACTGTGGGCATCCCCCACTCCACCCCAAGTCCCACTCAGCCCTCCCCACCCCTGCAGAAAGGACACCCGGGGTCCCTCTCTCACCACACAGCCATGCAGGGTGTCACCCCTGCACCACCGAGGGTGGGAACACACAATCTCTTCTGATTAACCTCATTAACCTGGTGCTGCAATTAGAGGAGCTCCAGCTAGAGCTCAGGGGTCCCACGAACACCTCTGGTAAGTGGGATCTAAAAACGCACCTCCCAGCAGAGAGAGCTCCCTCCCACCAAGTCACCCACAGTATCCATAACTCCATCCATACCCCTTCCCCTACCTCTGGAAGAGGCACCACAGCCCTCCCAAGTTTAGAGACACCTCCCCAATCCCCCCGCAGTAGAGAGCACAAGAAAGGGCTTTTTTTTTTTGCTGCAACGTGTTTATTATGTGCCAAAAACTACACCACAGCTTACTCCACGCGTCTGTAGGAGAGTGCAGTCTTGCCTGCATATACTACAATGAGGTAGAGACTTCACAAACAGCTTCACAAAACCCCACAAAGAGCAGCTGGGATATGCAACAATGCAACATCAGCTCAGCAGGAAAGAAAAAAAAATCATCATAATAAAGAGGGAGAAATTATGACACTGGTTCTTTGGCACACAGCTTCCGATAGAGGGGGAAGTAACAAAAAAAAAAAAAAAGAAAATAATCGGCATAATTAAAGGTCTCAAATCCCAGCAGCAGCAGCATTTCAGTCGACTGCACTGTTACTCCAAACATCTCGGGAAGGAATGGAAAATTACTTGTCCCCTCTAAGAGAAAGGGCTCCCAGGAACCTTAATCGTCCACCGAAACGCAGCCCTTTTTTAGCTTGTTACAAAAAGAAAAGGTTTAAGTCCTGTGACTTTGTGTGATTAAAAACCTCTATCAACCCCCCGTAAGTGCAACTTAAAAAAGTGCAACAAACTATTTTAAAACTATATACAGCAGCTCAGAGATCATCATCCCATCCAGTTTCAAATCCAAAAACAAAAACAAAGCCCGGCCTGTCCCGTTGCAAACCTCTTGATTTACAACATCCCGCCAGCAGCCCCCAGACACAAATTGCAATAATGTTAAAAGCTGCCAGGAAAGAAAAAAATCTCTCGTTTCAAACGACTTAAAAACTGTTTTTAAGAGTGTAAAAAGGAACTCGTAAAAACCCTCGAGCGTAAAATATGAAATATGATTTGGTTTAAATGAAGAGCAAAGTCTCCTTTGTTGTTACAGTAAAAAACGCCAGCTGAACACCCAGGTCACGCCGTCCAGGTGGGGGTAAATGAATGGAAAGGCACTGTATGGCAACGGCAAAACAATGACCAATGAGACCTGCGCTCTCTCCACCAGTATTGCAAGGAATGTAAAAAAGCGCCTTTAAAAAATAAAAAAACTGAGGCGGAGGCGCCTGCGGCGACACCCCCGCGACACGTGGCCCTTGGTTGGTTGGGTTTTCTTCATTTTCAATTTTTGCTTCTCGTCAGCAAACCAGGAACCAAAGTCTGGGAACTGCAGAATGGCTTGAGGGGCGCTCCCCCCCACTCAAAACACCCCCAAACAAACCCCAACAAAACTCACTGTGCATTAGTGCAGAAACAAAAAGACCAGCAAGTGCAAACATGAATGTAAGATTTGTTGT